GATTTTTTTGAGGGGGGGATGTTTCAAGGTCTTTTCCTCCCCAAAGAAACATCACTTATTTATTTACTCAGCTTTCTCTTCAAGAGGACCCATGGGCAGGTTACAATATTAAAAACAAACACAAAAACCAGAAGAGGAGAAGGAACCCCACCCCATCAGCCAAACTCTTAGACAGTGAGTCACTGAGAAAGTATGGCATTTCATGCTCAAAATGGCATCTTTCTTGTTCAAGTGTCCCCACAAAGAGTACCCAGTTGCACAGATTATGACCGTTTCTTGTGCAAAATGTCTGGAGAGAAATTAATGAATGAATAAATAAATAAATAATGGAAAAACATGACTAGGGTCACATTTTTCTTGGAAAGTCACGGAGAGGTGGTGTAGAGGTAAGTCTCAGTGCAAAGTCTTCATGACGAACTTGGAAGAGCATCAAGAATGATAATGTTTTTCAAATATTCTTCTCATTTCTAGCACTGTGCCCATGTGAAATCAGCATGCATGGCCTATGACCTGTTAAATTCAATGCAGCCCAGCAGCAAAGTTTTCTGGCTTTTCAGGTTTGTGACGCGCCTCTCAATTTCCTCTTTGAGACAAGCAGGAATAAACACACATATGGCCTTATATTTGGTGTTCTGTAGCATGCATGAGGCACCACTAGCTTTAGGAAGCTATTCTGTTGTTTTCCTTTTAGAATAATAGCAGTTCATTGACAGGATGTTGAAAAAGCAGCAAAACAAGTTTCTTCCAGTTCCATGTGGCTGCTAGTTTATCTCCTACCACTATGGGTCAGTAGAACACAGAAGTTGCATGTTCGCTCCTAGGAGATAAGAGAGGTTATCTTCCGATTTGAAGCTCAAAGTCAAATAGCCAGCAATCCTATTATGTGATTTGAGATGCACTACACATATACCTCCCTGCAGGCAGGGCTGGATTACAACAGCTTTTGAAAATAATGAAGAAAAGAGTCTAGCATGGAATCCCCTCACCCCTGACCAACTGTGCCTATCATTATTATTTCCCTGTGTTCTTAAAATCTGATAGTCAATACATCCATGCATTAATAACAATTCCCATGATTTATTTTCTTTTCTTGATATGATGTTGGTTACTCAACTGGAGTAAGAAAAGTAAAACATGCATGGACATTTTTTTTGTAGTAGCGAACAGTTCTTTCTTTCTATGAATGATTAAAGATTTTGCAAATCCATATTCATTCTACGATTTTGATCCAACATTTCAGTTGTTTCACAGTCAAGGCAGGAAATGTTTAGTTCTCTGAATCCAGTTTTTAGAATTGCTCAAGCTACATTTTGCAAATAGAACTGATTCAATTAATTTGATGGCCACTATAGCCCCGAAGATACAGTCTCTTTGGGGCTTTTCAGTACTAACTTTGCTTCTAATAATTTTGCTCTTGAGAGAAAAATAAATGTGAAGACTCAGGCAATAATTACAAATTGGCATGGAATAAACACAAGTTAAATATTGAGGCATTGCTATAACTGGCTAGCCGCCCTGAGTAGACGTTGTCTAGAGAGGCGGGGTAAAAAAAATGAATGAATAGATAGATAAATAGATAAATAGATAAATAGATAAATAGATAAATAGATAAATAGATAAATAAATAAATAAATAAATAAATAAATAAATAGTAATCGGAGCTTTGAACTAAGTAGTTGCAAATCATACGTTGTTCCTGTTGTTCCTGTTACGTGCTAGCAAGTTGCCTCTGGCATGGTGATTCTATGAATGGGTGACCTTCAAAATGTCATATCATTATCAGTCCTGCTCAACTCTTGCAATCTCAAGACTGTGGCTTCCATGATTCTGTTTTTCCCCAATTCATATTTGTCTTCTTTTCCCACTGCCTTCAACTTATCCTAGAAATATTGTCTTTTCCAGTGAGTCTTGTCTTCTCATGCTCTGCCCAGAGAACAACAGCCTCAGATATGTCACTTTGCTTCTAAAAAGAGCTCAGGTTTTGATTGCTACATATATACAATTCTTTTTAAAAGTCATGACAACGCAACTGAACCTCTTTGCAACTGTGACTTCCATACGGATTCTGCTACTTCTACATTTACAACCCACTAATAATGCCAGTTGAATCAAATGCCTTGATCAGTTACAACTGAAATGCATTGATTTGAAAACATATCAACCCACACGGAAAATAGAACATTTCTGACTTGGAGGCACACTAGGCTCTTTGTATCTCAGCAGAACAAGTAACTATCATGTGTCATCAAGGCAATTTTGACCCATCCTGACCTTCCCAGGGTTTTCTAGGTACAGTATAAAGTATTCACAAGCGATTTACCAGTTCTTCCTTGTACTGCTCTGGGACTGTGCAGCTTATATAATGTCATATAGCTGGCAGGGCAGATATTTGCTCTGGGTGATCTCAGCTACAGTGAGGATTCAGACTCCTGTTCCCTAGATCTACACCCAAACACTCCAAGCCACTGAGCGAAACCAGTTCCTAATTACTTAGCTACAAAGCTATCCAAGTGACATTGACAATTCATGCAGGAAGAAATTCTAGGAGCTTGCAGTCTGGTAGCAAGTAATGATGGAAAAGAGGATTAAGAAAATGGAGTCCTACCCAATAACTGTAAAACCTAGGGTAATGTAGATTAAGTCATTACTGATTTTAAAAAAGAGATGTACCAGTTGACTGATATTTTGTGTTGAGGATGTGCTGGATCTTTCATAATGGCATGAAAAGGTTATGTGGGGAAACACGAGAAGGTCCAGAATATCAGGAATTCACTTCACCTAAAGCATTAAAAAAGGTATACTTACTGTTCCTAATAAGTGACTCAACCCACCACCAATTTTGTAGGTACTTTTTTGCAGATTAAAAAAAGTAACAGTGTAGGCAAGATGTTCTACTGTGCCAACTGTGCTGGAATAATTCAGAGCAGTCTTTAAGATTTCATTTCAAAACAGGAAAGTTACAGAAATGTAAAGTCTCATTTGTTTCATCCTAGCAATGATCCTTACATACAAATGTAATGTTCTTCTCCAGAGACTTTCAATAGAATTCTCATATTGGAGAAAACAATGGTTTATGGTGGGCATAAATCAGAATTTTGTGCAAAATTTACAATACTTATGTAAAACTGCCTGTTTTTGATTTTTTTGATTTTTATTATTATTATTTGCATGTCGCTGTGCAATGTGTGTACAATTTGTCCAGGACTTGGGTGATCCCTACTTTGTTTAAGAACCTGAAGAATTAGATGGCTTTTGGACATTTTCTTAACAGTCACCTAGTTTTTTGGTGTTTGCTGGGAATGTGTGTATGCACACTCTGCTTCTTAAAGGAACACTATAAACCAGTTACCTGTTTAATAGGGACGTGGTGGCGCTGCGGCTTAAACCACAGAAGCCTGTGTGCTGCAAGGTCAGTAGACCAGCTGTCGTAAGATTGAATCCATGTGACGGAGTGAGCTCCCGTCGCTTGTCCCAGCTCCTGCCAACGTAGCAGTTCGAAAGCATGTAAATGCGAGTAGATAAATAGGTACCACCTCGCCCTGGCCACGTGACCATGGAAACTGTCTATGGACATATGCCTACACATGTCCAATAGCTTGTCAAATTGCTGTGGAAACTTCTGCAATGGCAGCTCTATATGCATGTAAATATTGAACAGGATACTGGCCGTTATACACAAATTCCCTAAGCCTTCAGTAATGAAAGGAGCTTTTTGTCTGAAGGTAAAGCATCTATGAGGGCTTTAAAATTTCTCAAAGAAGATGTCATGATAGCCATGCTAGAAGGAAGGATGTACAAACCAGTCAACCAACAAAACATATCCCTCCTCAATCTGGGAATAAAGAAACAGTGCATCTGTTTCTCCAGGTAAACAGGTGTCTTAGACATGCAATACCTGTGATTGGGGGAATAGAGATGGGAAAATTGCAAGGTCTTTTATTAGAAATAATGAGATTTATATAATCAAATACTGTGCAATTTGAGTATTTTGAGTAAGCACCATTAGATTCACGTGAAGCGCAGCTGGGCACAAATGGTTTGATTTGTGAAATCTCTATGTGGATATTAATTCCAAGGGATGTGTTATTTATGCAGTCTATTAGAGTGGGGTATGAACCGCTAATTCATGGTTTGTGCCAATCTCTACAGGACAGGCTTCCGAGTCAAACTTCGGAGGCTAGTGAGGGATCTCCAAGTGTCTATTATTGCCAGCTGGTCCCTGCTTGAGCCTCAGCTGAATCTTTTGGCTAACATTCAACAATTTCCTTCTGTTACCAAAATATGTGTACAAGTAATAAAATAATTTCTGTTTCATCATCCTGCTCCAAACCTACTTTGGTCTGAAAACTTTGGAGTATTTGCTGTGCAGGTAAGAGGCTTCAGACATAAACTTCTGAATGTGAACGTGGTAGGAACAGATGAAATCTTTAAATTTAAGGACCTAAAAGTTTGTAATAAATCTAGTTTAAGAATGATGCTTTTGTCCATGGGTACTCAGGCAGAAATCCGGTAGTAAATTGCAATTAGAATAGGATTAATGATTCAGTAAGGATTTGATAAGTCAATACTTATGTAAGTTTCATTGATTCAATAGGCCTACTCTAGTTGCATCTTACTACTGGATTTCAGCCACTTTCTTCAGTCTTTCCTTTGTAGCATACACAATCAAACCAGGGAGCCTCAGTTGTCTGTTGTCTCTCATTTCATCCATTTGTTGTAGGAAGCTTCTTTGATATCTAATCTTGTTCAGAAGCTTGCACATACAGTTTTGTTGTCGGGATGAAATGGGGAAGCTTCCTGGTTTGATTGTTAATGCCACAAAGAACAAAGGTTGTGCATGTGCAGACAACAGGGTGGTTCATATCTTGCAATAACCTAAAAATAGCCAAGATTGTAAATGAGCATACTTAAGAACTATTTCTGATCTAGTGAAGTTTTGTTGAGCCAAGTGTATTAATGTTGAGATGGACTATTAGATCATTTGTATCTCTGCTAAATACCTTTTTTAATTTGATGATCCCTTCTTGCGTGTTCTCATCTGTGCTGATGTCAAACAAATTTCCTCCATCTCCTGGAACAATCATATATTCAATTTCTGCATTTTTCCCAGAGTCAGGGTCCACTGCTCTGATCCTTCCAATGGCTGAACCAACAAGAGAAGACTCGGGCACTTTTAAGTGGAAGATACCTGTGATAAATTGATGAGCAATTAATTATTCAGTGTTTGAAGAAGAAAATTTAACATGTTTTTATTATAATTAATATAGCACATTAAGGCAGTAGGTAATCTTTACATTAAGATCATTCTGTGTTTAATAGGGATGTGGTGAGTGAGTACTTTGAAATATTCAGAATTAATCAATATGTCTAGCTTTAGTATCCAAATATTCAAACTAAGAATTCAAGTTCAGTTTTTTTAAGTGAATTCTAAATTGACGGGTTTACATTAAAGTGTTGTAGATATCTAGGTCTTCCTTGGTTGTTTTGACTTGAGCAGGTACCGAGTATGAAATGTCAAACATTACTAACAATAGAAATATATTGCCAGATAACACTGCATGATTACCTCTCATTGATTGTTAATGGGTAGGAGCTAAAATTACATGTTAGCAAGTATCAAATACTGATATCATGAATGACTGGTATCAAATATAGAAATCAAACATTTGGTCATTTGATAGATTCAGAAATATTTGAAAAGTATATGTAGAATATTTTATGCAAAATTCCACCAGCTAATTTGTAGGAAAGCGTGTTTCAACACAGTATTTGATTAGCTGCCAAGAAACTAAGTCAAAATGCTTTGCACAGGATCATCTACATAAGATGGAAATGGGAATTATGCTAAAGTGTTTCTAACTTAAACCAAAATGAAACAGAGTATAATATTTTAAATGTTGAAACATTGCCAATTTGTTTAATGGGAACAGCCTTGCTTGTTCCTCTGTAGGGTCCTTACTGCTGGTCTGGATCTAAGTGTTTGATATGTCTAAAGTCTTAACACATGCCAAATGCTGGCTGCAGGTAGTATATCAGTTTGCTGCAAGTACTGTAGTAACAAGGAACAAAGGTAAGTTTGGACAAGACCAGTCTTACCATTATATGGTGTGAGGCAGTCACCACAGGTGATGGGATACGAGGAGTGGCAAATTGTGTTCTTTCACAGACACACACACACACACAGAGAGAGAGAGAGAGAGAGAGAGAGAGAGAGAGAGAGAGAACTGCTCCTCCTCTGCCTTTTGATTTCAACAAGTTATATAGTGGTACTTCGACTTAAGAACTTAATCCATATTGGAACGGTGTTCGCAAGTCGAAAAGTTTTTAGGTCGAGGCACCATTTCCCATAGGAATGCATTGAAAAC